ATGATGTTATGAATAAGACTTAGATAGCTGTGAATTTCTTTTATTTAATTGTATACCTTATCAACATATATTGTTATTTGTTATTTTTATTAAATTCTGCAAATATTAAAATAAACGTATTAATGTAAATTCTTTCTTTAATTATTAAAAAGTGAACATACCTCAATTGGAAAAATAGACATGAGTGTATATTAATTTTCTTTATTGAAATAAACATCAGCATATTAAATATTACATTAAACAGATCTACTATTTTAAATGACCAGCACTAAAAAACAAATCTCGTTCCAAATGTTCTGCTTTTAGCGTCCCATCAATGCTTTCACAGTTTTTATTAAACACCGAATATGCACTTACTTCATCAGGTCTTTTAGGATCAGTTCTGGTATTTATATACATTCCAATAATTGCAGATATAATGAGGTAAATTATACCAAACCCCAATTCAATAAAAACTGCAAAAAGAGTTACCCATAACAAAAACCACAACACATAGTAAATAATACTAGTGGTAATATTTTTTTGGTTCCATTCCATATCACAATCATCAAGTACGGAAGACTCACTACATGCAGATTCTGTCACATCTGGGTCAGACGTAGAGTCATTTTGTCGATTAGTATATGGAGTCTTTGTTGTAATACTGGCTTTTGATTGTAACTGGGGTTCCTCAAACGATTGCTTTGGTCTCGTTATAAAAAACCGCTTTATTCTTTCTTTGTACTCGTTTATTAACTCTTCTTTTTCTTTCTTTGCTCGATACTCACTTAATAATTTTTCTCTATCCATTAATACCAGAAGAAGGAATTTCACAAAAATATTGCCAATATGTAAAATGTCACTTTTAACTTATTTAGTATATTTGCAAGTATGATTAAAAGTACAGTAACACAATCAAGAAAAGTATAGCTTACAAACCAATAATTTAGGTACGGATTTTTTAGGTAAATATTGTAAATAGATAAAAAAAACACAAAAGTTAGATACACAAAATTATATACTATATACCAATCTACAGAAATTTTATTTAGGTTAAATAAACGTCAAAATTTATGGTGAACTGGTGAGCTGTCTGTCTTTAAAGGAAAAGTTGCAGTTTATTCTGAATTGCATGTGAACTTTTTCATGTATCGACTTACTCTATAAGTTATTCCAAATTTAAACTTATTTTTATGTGTAAAGTGCACAGAATATTATTCGTTTTATTGATTTTCTAGTTAATTTTCTTTATTGTTATTTTCAAATTAACTGTATATTTTCATTTAACAAGTGAGAAGTGAACAACCAATTCACTTCTATAGTGGAAATCAAGGTCATCTAAGTCAGAAAGCACTCCTTATCCTCTTAGTAGTTGTAAGGTTATTTTTCAAACTAATTTATAAAAATCAGAAATATTTCAAAAAAGTGCATATAAAAATGAAGATCAAATTTAGAACAAACAAACCGCCCTTAAGTAAGTAAATGTATCTATTTTAATTCATTCTTTTACAATCTTAAACATTTCCAGGTGGTGTTTTATTAATAGAGTATCTGAAATCTTTGTCAGATGAATCTTTTCTGATTGAATGGGGAAATGAGTCCATCATTGTAGACACTCATAACGTAAATTATGAAACGTCTAACGATCTTTTGCGATATTTAGCTAGAAAATATGTTACTTATGGACTATATGGTCATAGTGCCACTGATAGGACTGAGGTGGATCATTGGTTAACATTCTCAATAGGTCCTCTAACTAATAACTCTGATATAAATACAGCTTTTCAACATTTAAATAAAATTTTGGGATCTGCAACATATCTAGTTGCAAAGAAAATTAGTATTTCTGACTTTGCAGTCTTTGCAGCACTATATGGTAAGTGTATTTATTATCTTATTTTCAAACACCTCTCCCCATTTTGAGTTAGTAGTGTATCACTATGTTACTATTAAAAAAACCATAATGTTTACAACATATGGTGCAGGGTCATAAAAGTCACTTGCTTTGGCATTTATATTACAAAGCAAATATTTATATATCCTAGTAAATAAGGAGTGGCAGTTGCTGGTGTCTAAGAAAGAAGCTCCTGTTCATCTTTTGAGATGGTACAATCATATAAAAGAGCTGCAAAGTACTCAAAAAGCTTTAGAATTTTTGCCAGAAGATGTCAAAAGTGCCTTAACATCACGTGAGAGAAATGCAAATACACCTGGGGAAAGAAAAGAAGAAGGAAAATTTGTTGACCTCGATGGGGCAGAAATGGGAAAAGTTGTGGTGAGATTTCCCCCAGAAGCTTCAGGGTAATACCTATCTGAAAATTTAAAAGTATTTTTTTGTAATTATTGCTACATTTTTAATCAGGTATTTGCACATTGGACATGCAAAAGCTGCTCTTTTGAATCAATATTATCAACAAGCGTTTAAAGGGAAATTAATAATGCGTTTTGATGATACAAATCCTGCCAAAGAAAATGTGCACTTTGAAGAAGTAATCCTACAGGATGTGGAAATGTTAGAAATCAAACCAGACAAATTTTCGTTTACTTCAGATTATTTTGATTTAATGTTACAATATTGTGAGAAACTAATCAAAGATGGAAAGGCCTATGTCGATGATACTGACCCAGAAATTATGAAGCAAGAAAGAGAGCAGAAAATTGACTCAGCCAATAGAAGCAATTGTAAAATACAGCCAAATACAAAAATGCTTATTTCTAATCATGATTTTCACTTTTAGCTATTGAAAAGAATTTACAGTTGTGGGAAGAAATGAAGAAAGGCACACCATTAGGGCAAAAGTGCTGCGTTCGCGCTAAGATTGATATGCAATCTCCCAATGGCTGCATGAGAGACCCAACTATTTATAGGTGTAAGAATGAAGCCCATCCAAGGACCGGAAATAAATATAAGTAAAAATATAAATAATGAATAATATTTGTTAGCTTGCCAACCCTATGTAAAACTTAATCATTTTGGCTCCTTGTTTATTATTTTACTTTTCACATCTTTCTTTCTTTTTGTTCTTATTTTGAAATTATTTTTGAGGGTATATCCCACGTATGATTTTGCGTGTCCAATTGTGGATTCAATTGAAGGTGTCACGCACACATTACGTACGATGGAGTACCACGACAGAGATGTGCAATTTTATTGGTTTATCGATGCCCTAAACCTCCGGAAACCCATCATTTGGGAATATAGCAGACTATCAATGACCAACACAGTGCTCAGTAAACGTAAACTAACTTGGTTTGTGGAAAACAATCTGGTGGATGGCTGGTAAGTTCATAATATTAATTATAATAACATCTGACGATGAGGATTCATGTCAGGGACGATCCGCGATTTCCAACGGTAAGAGGTGTCTTAAGAAGAGGTATGACAGTAGAGGGTTTGAAGCAATTTATAATCGCCCAAGGTTCTAGTCGGTCTGTGGTATTCATGGAATGGGACAAAATATGGGCATTTAATAAAAAAGTGAGTAGAAGTTCCACTTTTTATGATTGTGAAAATGATCATTAATTTTCTTTTCATCTAGGTAATTGACCCCATAGCACCACGATATACTGCAGTTGAAAAAGAAAATTGTGTACCTGTTCTGGTAAAAGAGGCAAAGGAGGAGCCTCTAAATGTTCCTCTTCATCCTAAAAATCCCGACGTGGGTTCTAAACAAGTTTGGGTGGGACCGCGATTACTTATAGATTATGCAGATGCTGTTGCATTGAAAGAAGGCGAAAATGCAACGTTTATCAACTGGGGTAATCTTTTAATTAAAAAAATCAACAAGTGAGAGATATATTATACCTACGAAGATATTTTGTATAACAGAATTTTTAATTAAAGGGAAAATGAAAAGGTTGTATCTATTGAAGCAGAAACAAACTTAAACAACAAAGATTTTAAGAAAACCCTCAAACTTACATGGCTTGCAGAAACCGATAAGGCCCAATTTACTCCTGCGTTTTGTGTATATTTTGATCACATAATCAGTAAACCAGTTTTAGCTAAAGATGAAGATTTTAAACAGTATATCGGTCACGAAACAAGGGTTCGACTGAAGCAATTTGTATTAATTTTATTTATTTTTTTATATTCGTCTTTCAGAAAGAAGTGGAAGTACTGGGAGATCCCGAATTAAGGAAATTGCATAAAGGAGACATCATACAGATACAAAGAAAAGGATTTTTTAAAGTGGACGTTGCTTATAAACCTGCTGACCTTTACACTTGTAAAGAAACACCTGTTATTTTATTCTCTATTCCTGATGGACATACCAAAGAAAATCCCACTTCTGGGACACTTAAGTCCTCATCTACAATCAAACAAGTAATAAAATTTTAGCTAAATAAACGTATTCATTAAATCAAATAATTAATTCATTTTACACAGCTTAAAAATGGACCTATACCCACTGAAGAAACATCATTATCACTAAATCAAGACATTACTAAACAAGGAGACATTGTGAGAAATCTAAAATCTCAGAAAGCACCCAAAGATCAAATCGACGCAGCAGTTAAAATTTTATTGGATCTCAAAAGTCGTTACAAAGCTGTAACGAACACGGATTGGAAACCTGGTATTGTTTCAACATTGAGGGAAACTCCCAATGACATCAACGAAGATATTATAAAACAAGGAAATATTGTGCGCGATTTGAAGTCTAAAAAAGCGACTAAAGATGAAATAGATTCAGCCGTAAAAGTTTTATTGAGTCTTAAAGAGCAGTATAAGAAAGTAACAGGAACAGAGTGGAAACCTGGTAGTTCACAACCTCTTCCTAGTAGTGCAATGCAACAGGCGAAAGAATCTAAAAACACAAAATCGAAACTTGTGTCGTCTGAAGGGGGTCAAGGCGACGTCAATTTGGTTAGTATTCACAAAATATCTATACAATTAAAATGATTAATATTTGATCATAAAGGCACAAGATTTTGAAATGACTTAGCTTTTATGCACAAACTATGTAACCACCATATGAACTCTACTGTTTTGACTTTACTAATTAACTGTCATAAGGCTTAACATACCCCTCGTTCCACTACTAAAATCAAAATCTTTGACTTGACCTTAACTACCAATAAGTAAAAACTAAAACAACTGAAATTCCACAAAACGTTTAGTTACCTAAGTCGTGTTTCGACACCCAAGATGCCATTCTCAGAGTCTCGATGGGATCTTAGCTGATGAAACGCGTTTTAGGTAACTAAACATTTGTGAAATTTCAGATGTTTTAGTGTTTATTTATTTGAATTAATTGACTCAATATCATTGCAATTTATAGGCATAAGACGGAACGAAGTGACTATTGTATACCATTGGTGATAATCCTTACCATTGTACATAGTTCGTTCAACCAATTTTATAATATTGTATTGGGTTAATCCCGGTTTTTTTTCTTTAAATTAATAAATAAATATAAAATATGTTAATTCAATTAAATTTATGAAGTATTTTTCTTTTTTAGAATGACTTAG